CCTAGGGCTGCCGGGGTGGAGGGGGACTGCTCGATATGTATGGGTTATCTTTTGGGGGATGGTTGCAGTGTTCTAAAATTGATCACGATGATGGTTGCACAATTCTGTGAATCTGCTAAAAACTGTTGAATTACACACTTTGAACTATATGTGAATTACATCTCAGGAAAGTTGTAAAAAAAATGGATTTTATCGCCTCTGCAACGTCGTAGAAGTTCTTCAAAGTTTCCTTTATATCTCACACATTTAGGTAGACTCTGTACTGCTTATTTCCTAGTTGGTCAAATTACAGTTCTTTAATGCATATGCTATTGCTAATATATAATTTAGAAATAGAAAGCTTCCTTTCATCCTGTGCATTGTTTTTCACCGCCTCATCCCCAGAGTTCCAAGCTTGGCATACTGCAGAAGTAAGAATAATCTTGTTCTGACTTGCAAGTTGAAATGTTAGTTTAAGAATATCTGATGGTGAAACCTCACTCTTTTGAAACCTAGGCATGAACAAAAGTGGAGGTGATACAGCAAATATGCAAAGTGCTTCCACTAAGTCTCCTTTTATTCACTGGAAAGCCATCCCCCTCCCAGCCCGTTTGCTCTTTATTTTACATAGTGTTCTAATAAGCGAATCGCTGATTGCAAAGTCCCTACAAGGATAGAAGAAGCATCGGGTTAGGATAGGTGAATTGTGCGTCCCCCACCCCTCTTCCCCAAGTTCGTAAGTTGAAGCCCTAACCCTCAGTGTGATGATCTTTGCAGCTGGGGCCTTGGGATGTAATTAGGTTTAGATGAGGTCATGAGGCCCTCATGATGGATTAGTGCCCCTAGAAGAAGAGGCACTAGGGAGCTTGCTACCCCCTCCCTCCCCCCTCCCCACCCCACCTAAGGACACATTGAAAATGTGGTGGTCTGCATACGCAGAAGAGAGCTCTCACTCAGCGGAAGCAGACCATGCTGGCATCTCCATCTTGGGATTCTCAAGAACTGAGAAAATAGATTTGTTTAAGCCATGGTTTTTGGTTTTGTTTTTTTTTAAAGATTTTTATTTATTTATTTAACAGAGATAGAGAGCATAAGTAGGCAGAGTGGCAGACAGAGGGAGAGGGAGAAGCAGGCTCTCCACTGAGCAGGGAGCCTGATGAGGGGCTCGATCCTAGGACCCTGGGATCATGACCTGAGCCGGAGGCAGCCGCTTAACCGACTGAGCCACCCAGGCGCCCCTAAGCCGTGGTATTTTGTTGTGGCAGCCCGAGCTGACTGAGACTTGGGGAGAAAGGGGGTGTTCTCAAGCCTAATAGGGAGGAAACAATGAGGAAAGGGGCACTTGCAGGCTATTTGAATTCTGTACAGTGGAAGGAAAATAAAGCGCCTAGGCTCCCAGAGTTCGTAGGCCACAGCATAGTTTATGAAGTGATCTTCAGAATGGTGACCCCCGTTCATCAAGCAAGGGTCAGATTGTTTTCTGTTTAAGGTGGTAAAAAGTTTTAAATCTGTACAAGAAGAACTTCCATCCAAAATAATTCGCATTATTCACTTTTTGAAAGTTAAACTGTTTTCTGCTATCCAAAATGACTCGTGCCTCATAATTTCCAGATGCCTTTTTAAGTTGTTACTACAGTTCTTATTTTTCAAAGCAAAGAGGGTGAAGGTAGATTTTTTACTTTCCTTGTCCTAAAATTGTATTTGAGACAGGACATAAGACCTGTGTCTCCTTTCCACTGGGGACGAATGATTTCCAACTTTTCCAAGTGTTCTCCGGGGGTTGGAGGGAGGCATGAAGAGGTGCTCTGCTAAGGTTAGGTTTATGGTGTGAGGCCTGTCATAAATGAGCTGTGGGCCTTTGCCTCTCAGTTATTCTAAAAGTAAAGATAGGAAGATAATTCTAGCCCACTGTAGGACTCGGAGACTTCCTCTGTGAAGTTTTCAGCCTTTGCCTGCCTCATTTAGCCTTCAAAATGAAAGAGCTGACAGGTAACAGTAATTAGAGCTGTTGACCTGGTTTGTGCCATGCTGTCCTTCAGAGATGATCCTCTCCAGCATCCCCTTTTACTACCAGCGAGGCCCCCTTTACTATTCTGAAATGAACTTGGATTATAGGACCTGCCTGCTCGCGTAATCTTTAAAACTGCATATTTCTGTTCTGTAAGCAAAAATAAGCAGATTACCTAATTTCTAAAATACATAAGTACCCAGGCCTTGGCAAACTTAGAAAACTGAAAAACAGAAACTGCTTCTACCAGTGTCTGTCGCCCTCCCGAGGGGGCAGTAACGGCCCCACCATCCTACTGCGTGCCTCTGGAGAAGCCGCACTCGGGGGACCAGCGGGGCGGCCCATCCGCTTCTCACCCCAGTGTTCATGCGTAAGTGGCAGTTACCGTCTGACTCCTTTCACTTCCAACACTGTGGCCCTACTCTGGGCGTCCCGGGCAAAGAGGCAGGGTGCAGAGCAGGCTGTGCTGGGAGTCCGCACACCAGGGGCTCGGTTCCAGTGTTGCCTCTCGTTTGCTCGGTGAGCTCCATCAAGTCACTTTCTGGGTGTCCGCTTCATCTGTCAAAGTGACCCCCCTAGCCCCTTCCGTCATCCTCTTCTCTTACTATTTCTTTCATATTTCGTCTATTCTCAGATCACTGTTACTAGGCTTTTGGTAGAAGATTGAAGTCGGGTTCTTTCTTTTTTTAGGATTTTATGTTTAAGTCGTCTTTACACCCAGTGCAGGGCTGGAAATCACAACCCCTAGACCAAGAGTCACACGCTCCACCCACCAAGCCAGCCAGGTGGCTCCGAAGTTGGGTTCCTCACTTTAATGAACAGGAGAATGCCCGAGGAACTTAAAGATAGGGATTTCCAGGTTCGAAGCCCCAGGGATTCTGATTCAGGTAGAATATTTTTAAACAAGCTTTCCAGAGGATTCTGGTGCAGATACCTGCAAAAATATACTGTCCTAATAGGTGCCAAATATGGCACGGCATTTGTCTTAGTACTTTATCATGGAGAGCCTGAGAGCCAGATACTTTATTTTCACCTCTTATAAATCATAAATATGATTGTGTATGCAGTGTAGTTGTAACAGAACTAGGTAGTAAGAAAAAATTGATCTCCTTTGGAGTTGGTTTGAAAGCCTTAAAGGTTTTGTTTTGAGATGCCTACATGTGCTAATGGATGCCCATCTGAGAACATTGCTTCCATTCGGAGACACTGAGTCATTCTTTCCTGTGACAGATTTTGTAGTACCAAGAGGAGAATGTGTTTAGCACTTGATTCTGGTTGTAAAAGCAAGGATGCGGGGGGCGGGGGGGCAAATTGGAGGGTAGGAGTCTTTTTTGGCCATTTTCTCACCTAGAAACCACTAGTTTGACTCTTATTTTCCATCTAGTTGGAAAGAAATGACTTACTAGCATTTGCGTGAAACTGTCATGGTACTACTGTGATATGGATCCCGAGAAAACCAGAGTTTGTAATCCATTTTCCAGCTACTTAGCATGATGTCCGGGTCATCTCTTTAGCGTAAATGTTCATCTCCTTCCTTCTTTGGGAAGACTCCAGAATTTCCATTCTTCTTGCAGTAGATGCCTTGCTTTTTTCCACTCGCTTCCTCACATTTCAGGTAGATTGGTTAGCTGTTTTGTTCTTCTGTTTCCGGGGATGTAGCTGTCACATGTTATTTGAGGAAATCTGCCTGAACCAGACTCTCCTTATGACAAGGAGTGCTTTCACTTGAGGATCTGTAAGCATTGACCAGCAGGCAGGAGTATTTAGATTCTCCCTCTTTAAGTGGGTAACTTCGTGCACAATCTAATTTTCATATACTACTACTTTTAACTTACATGCCTGAACCTTTTCCTTCTCTGGATTTAATCTTAGTGTGAGCAAGATGCCTCAATCTGACCACATCCCTTTGTTCTGTAGACAGGGGTGCTGGGTGGCCATTCCCCCTTTCTCCCCTCCTTCAGCAGACATCACTGAATAGTGGCCATGTCCTCGACCACTGAGCCAGCTGTGCTCCTAGGGTCTGGAGCAGAGCCCCAGGCGTCCGCTACACTAAGCCATCATCAAGCATCTCTAAATTGTCGCTTAGTTTTAGATCTTGTTTATAGCCATTTGTACCTTGGGCTGACCATGACAGAAGAAATAGAAGCAGTAGATTTTCTTAACTATTCGTCAGGTCAAATGCAGTCTTCAGAAGGATTGTTGTAAAACACTCTGGTAGTACTTACTGGGTTGCAGATTGTTTTGTAAAATAGAGAAGGGTCCAGCTTCTACCACAGCTCTGTCTGGGAAGAATGGTGGTCTCAGTGCCTTTGGAAAGCCTTCAACTTAAAGGCAGCGATCTATCTATTGGTGATTTTTTCACTTGTTTATTATTTCATTTAAAACTTTCTAAATGGTAGAACCAAGGTCACATAGAACTAAGACCTGGCATAAGGAAGTCACAGGCTTTAGAGAGGCAAATCGATAAACAGGTGACCTATAATAGGTGATATGTATGGAGTAAGATGCGGGAAAGAATTTTTTTTTTTTTTAAAGGTTTTCCGTAAAGGAAGTGATGTTGGGGCTGAGCCTTAAAGATGAGCGGAAGAGGAGGAAAAGGCGCTCCTCCAGCAGAGGGGCCTGGTCCCAGGCAGGGAACAGAAAGCTTATCCTTTTTGCTTGAACTGTGAACCCTCAAGGGTTAGGTTTAGATGGAATTTAAAATAAATTCCCAGTAATATTATATGGTTGTTTTTTTTTTTTTTTTAAGATTTTATTTCTTTATTTGACAGAGAGAGACACAATGAGAGAGGGAACACAAGCAGGGGGAGTGGGAGAGGGAGAAGCAGGCTTCCCGCGGAGCAGGGAGCCCAATGCGGGGCTCGATCCCAGGACCCTGGGATCACGACCTGAGCCGAAGGCAGATGCCCAACGACTGAGCCACCCAGGCGCCCCCCCTCAACCTTTTTTAAAGATTTTATTATATGTTGATAGCCCCTTAATTTGTTTCAGACTCTTGAACCCTGTTTTCCAGGAACCCGAATCATTTATGATCGAAAGTTTCTGTTGGATCGTCGCAATTCTCCTATGGCTCAGACCCCGCCCTGCCATCTGCCCAATATCCCAGGGGTCACCAGCCCTGGCACCTTAATCGAAGATTCCAAAGTAGAAGTAAACAATTTGAACAACTTGAACAATCATGACAGGAAGCATGCAGTTGGTAAGAGAACGCCAATTTGGGGGGCCGAGTGGGTAGCCCTGGGAATTCAAATGTCAGTCGGCTACAGGTTGAAAAATTGATGCCTCAGTTACAACCGACATTCGTTTATAGGTCTCTAAGGTTCCCAGCTCCCAACACCCAAGGCTTACTGAACTGTTCTGGAAATCCTAGGTTCTAAATCATAAGTGAATCTAATCCGGGAGCGGGGAAAAATCCAAACTCAGGGCATAGGAAATCCTTAGATGAGTCCTTGAGCCAGGCCTCAAGTCCTGCCTTGCCTGGGCTGTACTGGACTAGGAGTAACACATAGAATAGAACTGAACAGGCCCCATTTCCATTGCCTTTCAGAAATAGATCTATTTCTTACAAGAAGAATGTCATTTTTGTGGTGCAGGGGGAAATAGGGTTTGTTTCCCGCATTTTCCAGGACTGCCTATGATACCTAGACACACAGACACACACACACAGAGACACACACACGCGCGTGCGCTGAGTAAGGAGTCCACTCTGTCTCTGTGGAAGCAGAAGAGGGAGTAGAAATGGCCAGCTCCTGAGGTTCGCCCCGGGTTGTACTCCCCGACCTCTGTGCGGGAGCCAGCATTCTGCCTCCTCAAATTCCAAATGAGCTTTTTCTGGACAATGTGTTGATTGAGAGCAGGGCCAAAGTTCAGAGCCTCCAGAAGAGTTTGCCGACATGATAGATGGCAAGGAGCTCCCGCTGGGGCCGCCTGTAGCCAGAGGGATGCTAGGCAAGTTTTCACTTGGATCTTCTTCCCCAAATCCAACTCCTTGTGGGTTGTTTGAGTGCCATTCTTTTTTTTTTTTTTCCAGATTAAAAAGACCAGCCAAAGCAATTACTTGTTTTAAGGCCGCAGAGAATGGGAGAGTTTGGATTCTTTTTTGACCCTCATGCAGAGGAATGACAGAGCTGCTTGGCTTTTCCTTTGGGGCTAAACTTGTCTTGATTCTTCCTAGGGGATGATGCTCAGTTTGAGATGGACATCTGACCGTCCCGCAGGAGCAGCAGGAAAGCAGCAGTGCTGAGGCTGTATACACCGGATTGGGCCCATCGGATCAACAGTGAACGGACAGAGGGGCAGCCAGCAGTCCCATTGCAGCCCCCGAGACCTCCTCTTCCTTCCTCTGGGTGCCAAATGATGCGAAGATGAGCTTCATCTGACCATTTCCCCTCCCTGTTTCCTGCCCCCCTTCCCAGTTACACAGAGTTGATCCAAGATCCTTGGCATATTTCCGTAGACCTAAGCAGCCCACAGAGGAAAGCAGTTAAACTCTGGCTTCCGTAGTTATTTTACAGTTGAGAAAACCTGTCCTCCCCCTACCCCCCATTTTTTAAAAATCCCAAATCAAATATCAACCTGCCAACAATTGCCTGGCTGGGAAGTCTGGGGAAGTGACACAGAGGTGTGGTGGGTTCAGCATTGTCCGTGTCCTGACCCTCTGTCTGCCCTCCCTGTCTCTCCCACCTGTGGTTCAGAGCTGTAGGAGTCTGAGTGTCGGGTCTTCACAGCCATCAGAGGGCAATGGTAATGGAGAGGAGAGCCACTCTCCCTCGTACCCTGAGCTGTTTGTCCTTCAGGCCAGAGTGCAGTTTGTACAGCTCTGCTAGCATCACCCTGCGACGTTTTCTGAGGTCCACTTCCCCTCCTTCCTCTGGCAGGGGTGTCTTCTGTCTTTGATATTCGAGCGCCGCTTCCCAGTCCTTCACTTAGCACATCTGTGCAGAAAGGTGTGAGCCCCACCTGAGGGGGGAGTCCTTGGGAAGCAGCAGGGCTCTCCTCTCCTCCTTCCTCCCTGCTAGTGCCCTGTTGCCCCCCATCCCCTTGTATCTGAGCCACCAGGGTGATTCTGCCGCTCCCCGCTCCCCGCTCCCGCAACAGGCCTACCCAAGCGACAGGCACCTGGGGGGAGGCCTGGTTCATAGCGTTCTGCCGGGTGACCCTGAAGAATGACCTGGGCAGCGTGCTGAACCAGGTGGGTACTCAGACTCAGTAGTCCTTGCTTTCTAGTCCACCGAGCTTTGGGATATTCATTGTCTCTGATTGCAGTGTCTTATAGTTTGAGTTTAAAGGGTGACTTTCAGAATGCTCTTAGAAAAGAACCAAACTTTTTTCCTTTGTAGACCTGCTGAGGCTCCTGGGATAGATAAGCATGGGCTCGAAAGTGGGTTCTCCCCATTGTCTTGCCTTCCCCATCATACTCGTTATCCCTCTCCCTCCCTCCCTCCCTCCCACCTCTCTCTCTGCCAGGCCATTTTTCAAATACACATCAAAGATACCTCAAGTGTTGGTATCTGATAATATCTCACTCCTCTTATCTGAGGAGTGATCTTTTATTTTTAAGATGACTACAGACCTATTTTTAGATATGTTTTCAATACGATTTTGAACAGCAACTTTTTAATTACACATCTTCCGGTGTTAGGAAGGTGAGAAATGTCCATGGGCGAGTCTGCTGCTCCCTGTCACCATCCTTTGTCTCCCTGAGTCCCTGACGAGCTCTTTGCTTCTCCCTCTAGTTTTGGGTGTGCATGTTTGCAGTTTGTAGTGGGTGGTGTGTCAAACTGGACCATTCTGCCTTGCCATGGCTTGTTTACGAGCGCCTCGTTCTTTCCCTCCCCGTTTGCTTTTTCATGCACCCCCTCACCCTCCCGACTATTGACTGGCACAATAATCCCGGGAGAGTGACCACCTTGTAGAAAGACTAACACCTCTGTCCTCATAGAACGACAAGTAAAGTAGCCGCTGGTGTCCTGGGAATTTCTGGTCGCATTTGGTGCCCTGAACCCTCTCATTAAGAGACCACATCCCAGGGTGAGAGTAACAGGCCAACTGGCTAGGAAAGAAAGCTGTTTGTTTTTCTTTTGAACTATGAAAAGACCCTGTTTATGAACACATTTTAGACAGAAGAGAGGAAGGCTGTCCAAGGAACTTTGTTCTGTTTTCTACTACAAAATGTGAATAGTACAAAGAGTGAACCTTCTGTGATGGTTGATGTTTCTCAGGAATAAGCTGGATCTCCAAAATTTGGGGGAGGCTTTCAGTCTCAAAAATTGATGATCAAAAAAAATATTTCCTTGTTTGTTTGTGTAATGTATCCCTGTTCTGATTTTAATTAAACTCCCAAATTTCGCTTTCCATACTCTTGGAAAAAGTTCAGTTGCACCGTCATTTGCATGAGAAGCTTGCTCAGGACCCCTTTGTCCCCTGGGAGCTTGATTCTTTGGGCATGAGACTTCTCGTTCTTCATAGCTGGCTTTGGCATTCATGGAACCTGGTTCCAACTCCAGGTAGTCGAGCAGTGAGCAGAAGAGCGCCTCTTCTTGATCTTTGTTGCTGCACTTGAAAATCTGGACTCGCTGAACAGCGGGGAATGAATTTAAAACATGCCAGCTTGAGTGATGTCAAGGCGCCATTTTCCCCTTTTCTGCCATCTTGGGAAATCTCTGCACACGGTTCCCTAATCGGAGGCCATCTTTCTAGTTTTTGCAGGGAGTGTCAGCCGTGTGATACAGCAGCAGCCTGCTCCTTCAGTCTTCTCTGCAAGGCCCTCCTTACTGGTTGGTGTCCTTTCCTGGAGGCCACTGCTATGAGAGATACTTTGATCTCCATGAACCTGCATTTTAAAGATCGTTTCACAAGGCAACAGATTAACTTGTAACAGATGACACCTTTGTGCCATGCCTCAAGAATGATTTTTTCAGGGCGAGCCAGATCCAGAAGAATGAATAATCTCTCCTGGCTTTCTCTTGGGGAGGGAGAACCCTTAGGGGACCATCTGAGTGAGATGGTTCTTAAAATCTTAGTGATCATTTGCTCTTTTTATGAGGAAACCGTGTTTCTGAACCTCTGAGGACAATCCATCTTGGTGGAAATGACCTCGTTCCTCCAAATTCCAGCAGGAGACACGCGTTGTCTTGGTCTGTCTGTACAGTATGGTTTGCTGAGACCACCACGTCTTCATATTCTGTTTAAATAGCTGAACGTCCTCAGGAGCACCCTGTCAAGCAGCTGGCTTCTTGGTATTGGGCTGTCAAGCCTGGAATTCTGTCATCCCACCTGTATTAGTTATCTTCTGCTGTGTGACAGATTACCCCCAAACTTGAAATCTTGAAAGAGCAAATGTTTTCTGTCAGCTTCTGGAGGTTAGGAATTGGGAGGCAGCTTAGCATGATGGTTCTGGCACAGGGTCGCCAGAAGTTGCCATCAAGATGTCGGCAGGGTCTGCAGTCATCTAGCTAGGACTGGAGAACCCACTTCTACGTGCGCTGTGGCTTGTTGGTGCGTTCTGTGCACACGGGTCTCTGTGTAGAGCAGCGCGAGTGTCCTCATACCAGAACAGCTGGCTCCCCTCTGAGCAGGTGACCCCAGGGAGAGGGCAAGAAGGAGTCTGCAGTGCCTTCCATGACGGCCTCTGAAAGCACACACCATCACCTCTTCCCTATTGTGTCCCTTAGAAGCAACCCCCAAGCCTGGCCGACACACAGGGGAGGGCAGTGACACCCACCTGTGAGGGGAGCAGTATCAAAGAATGTGAGGATCTACCTTAAAATCACCTCACCCCCAACAGAGGATAAAGTCAGTCCAACAGGGGGGTAGGTTAAACTAGATAACACAAAGAGATGTTGCTACTGCATCTCCAAACTGAAGAGAAGACAGACACTCTTCTCTTTCCCCAAAGTCAGCTGCTGGTTTGGAGAGTGGGGGCAAGAAATGACGATTCCCGAGAGAATAAAAAGAGCTCTACGTTTGCCTGGCTACCAGCAGTGCAAGGATGCTTCGGGGCGAGTCCTAGGCTTTGTGTCTCTCAGACTCCGCACCACGTCTTTGCATCTCCGTGAGCCAGGAACTGAAAGGGAATTGGATCCTTCTAACTCAGCCACTAAAGCGGACCTAATTGGAGTCAGGGTTGTTAAGGCAAAGGAAGAAATGTGAATGAGATGTTGGGTTACCGGGCTGAATGAAAGCTTCACGGTTTGGATTCAGGGTGAAGTAGATGATTGCATCTGGAAGCCAGGCCCCTGTCAGAGTCCAGGTGTTGGTACCTGGTCTCTGCAGCCATACGAGCTGAAACAGATTTGGGTCGGGTGGCTCACCCAAGAAGCCACTTCTCAGTTCAGTGGGGGCCATCTGGGAATTAGAAATGTCTGTCGGTGCTTGATTGCACCTCTGAATCCAGTGTGTGTCTTACCTGGGTGCCCGCCTCAGGCCGGGCTTCCTGATAGAGATGTGTCTTAAAGAGAGCCGATCAGTCGAACACATTCCTAGGGAGCCTCTCCTGGGCGTCTGGCGCCCATGCCCAGCCACGTTTTAGAGACTCGAGACATCTTCAGGATGCACGTTCCTGTCTGGCTTTATGCTCTGCCTCTTCTCTGGCCCTGCTTGGTGGAGCGTGCACTTGACTAAGAAGCATTGCTGCTGAGGCAGCCGTAAGAACAAGGGCACTTCCTCCACGAGGAAGGACTCCTCTTCACAGCACTTTCCCCTGACTTGCCTTTTTCCTTCTGCTTTTGAGGCAGAGCCACAATAGATGGTCTTTCGTTTTGCGTTTGGGCCCCCAGCTCTTTGGGACCGTCCGACCTTGGTGCGGACAGCTGTGGCAGCATGAAGCCTGCTGCCTGGGTGGCTTGTCCCCAGAGCCCGCCGTTCAGCCGGCGCACGACCCGCGTGCCATCGAGGCAGCTGGTAGGAGGGGCTCATTGTGCTGCAGCAGGACCCCAGAAACGGGCTCTTTACTCTTTCTCCCCTTCTTGGGTATTCGATGGCGTGTCAAGCATCTTGGCTGCTTGAAGCCAGGGCCCCGGGCCCTTTGAGTTCTCCCGCAGAGAGGCGGTCCACTGCCTCTCCATCTGGGCCGGAACTTGCCGGTCGAGGCATGTTTCTGGACCACAGGCACAGCAGCTGTCTATTAATCTGCGAAACCCAATCACTTACCCACCCATGACATCTGGGACCGGGTAATCATTTTAAAGAAGCACGGTTTCTTTGGGAGGGCAGTGTCTGTCTGGACTTGGAAAGGGGTGTGGTTAACCGCGCCCCCCCATTCCTGTGTCCTAACCTCTCAGCTTTTAATAAAGGATGAAATCAGATCTTGAGGCAACTGGGTCACGATTCTTTTGAATGCTTATTCCCCAGGGGCATTTCCTGTTCTAGTAAGGATTTTCCAGTTTAGCACTGAGGTTTCCTTGAGGCTAGCTCAGGAATTTCTTACAAAAGACTAAGGAGATGGATACAAACTTATTTTCTCAAGCAATCATTCATGTCTCCTTTCCCACCCTCTGGAATTTAAATTTCATTCTCTGGGCTGGTCCTAGAAGTGAATACCTTGTGGCAAAACTAGATTTAAGAGGTCTCTTGAGTTCCTGTTCAGATGGTCTGTGGTTTCTCTTTGCTTAACAACTCTGCCTGCAGCCTGGGCCAACCACACGGTATGGATGGCCGGGGGAAATGTTGCCTAGGTGAAACACAGTTCCCTGGGTATTTAAATTCTTACTCTGCCACCTTTCTAAGTGTAGGGGGCTAACCGATGCTGCAATGCTTGATAATCATGTGGCCACGCTGAAATTTCCAAAGGGAGCTCTCGCCGGTGCTTACCCCCCAAATTCCTGGACACTTCTAACAGAGAGTTCCATGAATCTAGCCCAGAATAGCCAGTCTTGCCCCCGGTGTATCCCCTTCCTCTCCATCTTAATCTTTAAAAACAAAAAACCAAGCCCAGGCCAAGGGTAATTTTTACTTGAAACCAGGAGGGTGGGGAGGAACACGAGCTAAGGACGAGTTGTCCGAGTAAGCCATCCTGCTCCTGGTGGCCGTGGCCAAACCACTGAGTCCCATGAGCCAGTGCCTTTCCCTCCCCCAAAGAGGGAGCCCGCCTCTTCCCACCTGGGTACCCCAGGGGCAAGCCTCAAAGGAGGCATCTTGGAGAGCCCAGAGGACACTCACATGCCTAGGGGTCCATTTTAAGCATCTTTAAGACATTTTCTGTATAAAACAAATGCCCTTCCCTGTCTTCGTGCCGCCAGTGGCCCAGTTCCATCCACTGAACGGAAAAGTGGAGACTGCCGTTACTTCTTTGGTCTTCCCTTCGTCCCCTTAGACGTGGTCGCCCCCCGCCCCTCCCGTCATTTCACCATCGTGGATGGAGAGCGGAGGACACCATGCGGTCTTGAGGCAGTCCCGTGTGAATCCGTGATCACTTTTGTTGGTGTGGGTTTTTTTTTTTTTTTTTTTTTTGGTAACTGTCCTAAACCAGCAGGTGTTTGGAAATTAGGGAAAAATTAAATTCTCACCAATGGTTGCTGTTACAGTTAAATCAATAAAGATCTTGAGTATCAACTTGTGTTCTGATTTGCTTACATTTTGGGGGAAACCCTGTGGATTTCACATGTGGAGGGTCTCGACCAGTGAGGTAAATGGGCAGAGATGGTGAGCCACCTCGTGGGGCGGTTCTCAGCATTGGCAGAGCACGGGCTTTGTCCGTCTGGCCCAGAGATGCAGCGAGATGCCCTGTCCCTTCCCTCAGAAGCGTGGTGGTGAACAGGTGCATGCGGGGGCCGGACACACCAGGTAGGCAGGCTCCTCTCTCCTCGGACCAGCCTCATGGAAGCGCAGACAGCGGCTTTCCCTTTTTCCGATGAGGGCTGCCTGTGCCCCGAGGGGCACCTGTCAGAAATGCATCCCCTCGGAGGTCCTAAACTAGGCTGTGCTGCAGGAGCTTCCAATTCCTTGCTATTATTAATCCAGTGAGTCCCACGTATCAATACTGCGAACAAGAATTCTGTCCTGTTGGAGATGTGAACAGAGGTCGGCAGAGTAAAAGTGGACTTGAGGAAACGTTTTCCCGTCCAGACAATGGCGTGGTTTAGTTCTGAGGCTTCAGACTGAGCCAGCCTTGAAGTCTAGCCGAGCTGCTTAGAGGCCGTGTTCCTTCCGCCAGGATTCTCTCAAGTAGGCGAGGGTTAAGAACTACCCCTTCCTGGGTGGCTGTGAGGCTCAAGGAAGGCGCTTAGCCTGGGGCCTGGTACATGAAGAGTTCGGGAAAGGGCTGGAGCACAGCCCAGTCGGCGTGGCGACCAGAGGTCAGCCAGCTGGGCCTCCTTTGCCTCGGGAATGAGCGAATTTGGGCGTGGAGCAGGCCTGGGGGCTGCACCCACCACCCAGCCGTGGGACCTCTGGAAGGACTCCTTAGGGGAAGATGGGGCCAAACCCTTCTGCTAGCACTTCATACATCCTTTCCTCTGCACAGAGGCAGGTAGGATGCTAACTTCCAAGGCCACTTAGGAATGCGGGGGCGGGGGGAGAAGGGGAGACGAGGTGGAGGCAAACACCCCACAGTGGTGCTTCTGGAGTCTTGACAACCGCCTCCCGGGTAGCCCCCGTTTCTGCTTCTCTCCTTCCAGTCTTTCCTTTTCTCCACTCCTACGTACCGCTAGGCCCACCCCTGCCCTGGCCAAGGACAGTAGGGCGTCCAATTGCCCCCACTCAGCTACCGGCCTGGCACGGCTCTAAGTACAGTAGACCTTTGCCTTGAGAGCACGTTAAAATAACCATGCTGTGAGAGCCCCATCTGACCCCAGGTTAGGGCAGGACTCCGTTCTCGGGGGCAGTCTTCCCTCCACACACGGGGCCCGGGGCACGAAGCCCTGTTGCTAGGCTTGGCCCCAAACGCCTCTGGCCCGGCAGCAGGATGACCCACTGCCGACAGGCCCGGCACGGAGCTCTCAGCAGGGCTCAGCAAAACGAAGTTCCACTCCTCGGTGCCCGCCGGCCTCGTCAGTGAGGTTTTGTTCTGAGTCAGTGGAGCTGCTGACTGTGAACTCTCCCACAGCTGTGGCCACAAGCAGCTTGGACTTTCGCTTTCCTGGCCCTCGCCATAGAAGAAATGTTGGGCACCTCTTTAGTAAGGAAGATGCTCTCAAGCCCCAGGGTTGGGATTTTCACTTCCCAGAACCTCGGTGTGGTAGTGGGATTGGGTCCAAATGTTTGGTTCCAGAGGCTAGGCCTTGACCCCAAAGTAGGGGAGCAATTAAGCTGCTATTCAGGACAGTGCCCCTGGGGCTCCAGAGACCAGAGCCGAGTTCTTGACCCCGCCCCTCCTAGCTGTGTGGTCAGGCCCTGGGCCTCCGGATGGGATAAAAAGCTGGCCTCACAGGGGTTCTGAATAGTCAGCTGCAGAACCCTATTGTGATTCGGGACTGCGGTGCCAGCAGGTCTATTTCCACCCCAGGAAAGGAGCAGCTAGAGCGGCTTGGTTGCCGAATCAGGGCATTAAGGTTTCTCAAGCCCAGGCCTGGCTCTAGCCTCACCAACCTCGGCCTAGGCCAGGATTACTACCTTGACTCAGCCATCGCTGCAATCGAGTCAGGAGGGGTTCCCACACGATGGGGCTCATTCTCGTAAGCCTGGAGCAGAAGTTGACCGGCTTCCTGGGGAAGCAGGGGTAGAACTACCATAGACTCGCATTCCCGCTAGATTGGCCCCCCTCACCCCGCCAAACAGAAACAGCCCCTGTTCTGGCAATGCTTAATGAGGTCAGCTAAAAGAGAAACAGGATCGCTGCCTTTGGGGTCTTTTCATCCAAAAGGCAAAGCTGTGCTCAGGTGCTTTGGGTAGAGCTTCCCACAAGAAAGCTGGGGTTCCTTCTGCTGGGCTGCTGGGTAGAACCCGAAATCAAGCCCGACTGCGAAGCCTGAGCAACAGAAGAGCTGGTAAAGGTTAGAGAGAGAGGGTATGGCAGGCCTGGGGCTCAGCAGGCTTCGTAAGCTGTAGAGGGAGATGGGGAGATGGGGATAAGGCCCAGAGGACAGTCCATGATGTAGGACCTGCTAACAGACATGTTAGCACTTTACAGGAGGAGTCTGAGCAAGGAATTAGTCACCTGAGGCCACACAGCTTCTCAGCGGCGCGGGTGTGACCATAACCCAGGTCTCAGGCCACCGTCGCCCCTGCTGGACGGGAAGCTCAGGGGCCTCATTAACAGCACACAATGAGACACCGAGGTGAACTGTCACCAACTTTAATAGACTCGGATTGTGTGTGCCCACGCAGGCTGGCTGGGGGGTGCCTGAGGGCTCCACTCCTGGAGTCCAGCGTGGCCAGCTCTCTGGAGGAGTTTCTGCCTCTCCCTTCAAAGGCACCAGCTGGCCTAGGAGGACTTCACAATGGCTGTATTGTTTGTGCAACTCATTAGCAGAGACCCACTCTGGGGAGCCTCCGGACAAGGCCAGCGGATCGCCACTGGCCGGCCCGAAGCAGGTGGGGGCTTCCCTAAACCAGCCGGAGGCAACGAGAGCCAACCGTTTCTCCTTTAACACAGTGAACTTCATCTTGGCAGGGGGCGGGGGTGGTCAAAGACCACCTTTGAGAATACATAGAAGTTATCAGTAACCTGTCCCACCTCAAAGATAAATGCACGTACGCCCCAACTTTTGCGTATCATTTCTGAGGGTTCATAGGTTAAGAAGTCAAGTAGAGAACCCTTGCCCTAGTGCTTTTAGTCACCACTGTCTCTTCAGGAAAGAGAACAGCCGACCAGCCTGCCGCCCAGGCTTGCTCCTCTCTCTCTCCCGACAGACAGCAGCCTCTGTGTGAGCCGGACCCCACAGAGCCTTCCTTTACAGGGCAGGCAGCTCTTCCCCCTCTGGCAAACAGAGCAACCTTCCCCCCTCTGTGTCTCCTCATTGCGTTAGATGGTTCTCGTGTCTCTTCTAGGACCTTCCCAACTTCCCAGGGAACAGGCAAATCCGGGCCCCGCCAGGATCCCCTCAAAGGCACCCACATTCTTCCACAATCATGTCTTTATGATGGTCTAGGAGGACTCTGCCGTTGTCCACGTACAGCATGCTCAGCGGCTTGGTCTTCACGGGGGCACAGCAGGTAGAAGGGACTCGGTGGGGCTGGTATCGCTTCAGCAGACTCTGGGGGAGAAAAGTCAGTTAAAAGCAATTTCTGAGTACAAAAGCAGAAGAAAATCATTCTCATAAAGGATTCAGCCTGCCAATATACATCATCAACTCCTAACATGTAAAGTAACTTTACAGGCTGTTTAAAAAAAAAAAAGAGCTAAACAGAAGATTCTAAAGGCTGTATCTGGGTAAAGCAATAGCAAACAGACATGTCCTCCTATTGTTCTAGTCTAGAGTGCATGCCAATTCCAAGAAACTCCTGGTTTTGTTCCAGAAACATGAAGCAGAAGAGAGTCATGAGGAAATTCTTGTGGGATTTGCTTTGTTGCCCAGAGAAGGGCAAATAGAGTCAGTAGGAGAAAAGGTAACAATCCCTTGGCACTCTGGAACCGGGCCCCATCCCTGTGGTCCAGTGAGGTCTTTCTTTTTGGATCTGAGTGTCAGAATTGCTCTTGGGACTCTCTGGGTCACTGGGGGTCCCCCTGATCATGCAGCAGGGAGGTTCATGGAGCAAAGTCCCAGGAGAGGCTCAGGCCTTTGCCTAGGAAAGGTCCTGCAGGGCTCTGGCCCCACCGAGTTCAGCTCACATGCTCCCCAGAGCCTCTGAACCCCAATATCAGGGCCACCATGTTAGGCTCTATTCTCTTCTCCCTCCCTCTCATTGTCCTTTTGCTCTCCTCCACCACCTTCTAGACCTTAGGCTGATTAGTGGCACGTGGTGGTAGTCTTGGGCCCTCCCTACTGCAAAACGGTGTCCCCTCCTATTTTAGGTGGCAAAAGTACAGTGGCTAGAACAGGATGACCCCAACCATGGCCCCACAAATGTGGCCCCCATTCCATCGGTGAATCACAGACTTCTAGTAGTGATGATACATCATCCAACGTGCCGGTCACCAGCCAGCAGATATACATGCGGGAAACATCTCATCTCATTTAACCCTACAACATGGCTATGAACTATGGCATTGCCACCCCCATTTCACAGGCGGGAAAGGTCAGGCTCAGACAGAGTAAGCAGCTTGATCAGTATCATACAGCTAATATGTAGGAATCAGAGCCAGGTTTATTCCCAGAGTCCAGATTCTGAACTTCCTTTCCTAGAAGAGTCAGAGCTGAGGAGAAGCGGAAGTCTTCTAGTCTACACCCTCCACCCCTAATTTTATGAAAGACGAGGAAGAAGACCTAAGGAAGCAAGGTGTTCGAGGTTACCCAAGGGGGCGTGGCCGCATGTAGGCCCTCTGAGGATCGTGTCACAGGCCATCAGTCTCTCCCAGGATAGGAGCCGGCACACTGTTGGTGCCCGAATAACAGTGAACGAATGAACAGCAATTTACAAGCAAAGCCAGAGTCCTGTCCGCTCCCCCACCCCCGATCGGGCAGTATGGCCCCCTCTCCCCCACAGCCCCCTGCCTCCCCTCCCCTTGGCAGGGCTCTGCACCTGGATGTATGCGTGGTTGGTCGGATGAAACTCCTCCCCCACAGGGTTAGGACACTCGCCCTCGCAGCGATAGGCATTGTACTGCTTGGGGTAGATGATCCAGGAGCCCCATCCAATGAGGTTGAAATCCACTTGGAACTTGACCTTCCGACACAGCTGGCTTTTGTCCGGCAAGTGGTGTCGACGGCGCCGCCTGCCCCTCTCCTGGGACAGCTGTCCCTCCCGGGCCCGCCAGGAACTCTCAGCCTCCCACAGCAAGGTGGAGCCGCCCAGCTGCCTCTGCTCTGGGGACAGGTTGGAGTAGAGCATGAGGAGCGCGCTGGCGACGGGTGGCGTGGGAGGCCGCGGCTGACACTCTCCAACCAAACTGGACATCTGCTCCTCCAGCTGCCCAGGGTGCTTCAGCCACTTGGAGAGTGGCATAGTCACCTCCAGGACCATGCCGCCTGAGGAAAAGGTAACCTGGGACAGAGGGACAGTGAACAGGTCCATCCGAAGACGCTCCCGGCAGTCAGCTGGGTCCTGCTCCGCATCCGGCTTTAGCTGGTGGAGAATCTCGACGGAGAGTGGCAGGCCAGGGGGCAGGTCCACAGGGCTGGACAGCTGCAGCCGGAGCTCAGCCCACACCAGATCCTCCACTTGGCTCAGGAAGGAGAAGTCAAAAGCAAACGTCCAGTTCTGCCCATCCACCTCCACATCTGGGTGGGGAAAAACCAGGAAGGAAGCAGAGTGAGTGGGGGCCCCCTGCAGCCTCATCGCTGTAACAACCACCAGAGCTCATGTTGGAGCCTTAACCTGATAGGAATCCTCTCGATGCTCAGCCCAACCCCTAGGCGTTGGCAACGTGGAGTCCACTTTGGTCCGATTCAAATTGCGGCTCTGAGAGGTTAAATCACCCACACAAGGTGGCAGAGCTAAGAATGAACCTGGATTTGCCCAACCGCAAAGCCCAAACTCCAAATCACATCACCGTTCTGCAGCTCCCTCCAAGACACTCGAGAGCTGGAGAACAACTGGTAGAAACTGGATGAGTTCTCCCTGCTCTCTGGCCAAATCCTGAGCTTTCTGACCTAAACCCTGAGCCTCCACCCACCCTGTGACCCTGAGCAAGTCACTTTCCCAGACTCCGCCTTCTCATTGGAAAGGGTGGCCTATCTCATGGGCACATTGAGGTTGATACGTGTATCATGGAAAGGCAAGGCTCGGTGGGCTCAGGGGGACACAGGCAGCAGAAGCCCAATGCCCCGCCCATTCCTAACGGCAGAGGCAGAAACTTCAGGAGTTCTTGACAACCTGATGCATAGGCTTCTACAGGCATTCTAAGCATGACTTTGCGCTGACCTGGCAGTTTTCCACCCCGTGGGCTTTCTCATCTACCTGCAGGGTGCTTATCACCTCCCCCACCCGCCGAGGGACATTCCCACACCTGGGGCGGACACGGTAGCATACACACAGCCCCTGGCCCTGTTCTACCCCCCGCTCCCCGAGACAACTCAACCCAAACCGGACGACAAGGAATGGGGAAGCACATTCCATTCATTTTAGTCCTGGACTAATTTGGTCCGATGTCTGGGAATAACATGTTTTTGTGGATTTTCAGGTCACCTAAAAGTGACCTTTAACTTTTTTCAAGCCCAGTTTCCTTTTCTTTGCAATGGGAACGGTCATGCCCTACCCATCCCTGCATCCTCATCAGCCCTCATGGAAATAAAGAGGTTTGAAGGCTTGTCGCTAAATCAAAGTCAGGGATCATCCCTCAGAAAAAAACACTAACCCTTTCGTGAATCGAGCTCAAGGGTGGTGATGGTCTCCGATTTAGGTCCACTCTGGGCAGACCACTAACAATTTCCTTTTTTTTTTTTTTTTTTTTTTAAGGGTCTCATAGAGCATCTTTGGTCAGATGGTAAGTGAATTTCTTTGAGAAATCCAAACTGCATTACAAGGAGGCCGTCCCAGCTTCAGCCTCCTGGCAGCTTCAGCCTCCTGGCAGCTTCTCCCAACCCACCTTCAGCTGCTCTTCTTCATTTCCCCTTCCCTCCTCATTAGCACCTGCAGGGGGCAATAACCGGGCCCTGGCTAGCAACTCTCCCCGGAGGTGTGGGGAGGAGGCAGGCATTCCCCCTTGCCCACCACAGCACCCCTGGCTACCTGGGGATTAGGTGGGACCTGCAGCAACTCCTGGCCACCTGCACCAGGAGTTAAAGACTTTTTATCTCAAGTACCCACAAATGGCCTTTTAGAAGAAGACATTCCAGCCCAGCAGGTTAAGAGCAGAACGCTCCGGTGCGTTCTGCGAGGCTTCAAATTCTGCCGCTCGCTGTTGAACATTGGGTAGATTACTTTCCTTCTCTGGGCCTCAGCTTCCCTCTTGGTAAAAGGAAGATAGTGACAGTACCCACCTCGTGGGAGTTTTAGGATTTACTGAGATAACGTGCGTACAGCGTTTTGCCCAGCACAGCCAAGGTACAGCAAATGTTGGCTGTCATCAACCACTTCCTTACTATTGCCGGTGGCCAAGGTTAGAAATGAAGGTTCCAGATAGGTAGTGAGGGACCTGGACATAGAAGCAAAGTCATCTGTTCCCAGAATGGACAATGTGTATGGAGTGCTCCTGCCCAGGGTGAGGAAGAGTCTTTGACCCACCCCCAGCCATGGGCTCCCTGGGAAACAGTGCTGATAGGTTCTCTTAGAGCTGGCTCTGGTTCTTGTTAGGAGAGGGGTGCCTAATTTTGGGGGGTCACTGATGCCTGACACAAGCTAAGAATGCTCCCACCTGTACAACAAATGTGACTTGGGGTAAGTATCTGGAGAGGGTTCGTGGACCCTGAAACTGATCCAAGCACTGGACAGAGTTGGCCCACAGGCCCCAGTGTGATCTTGACCCACGTCTAATTCTAAAGAAGAAAGTAGGGGCTCCTGGGTGGCTCAGTCGGTTGAGCATCTGCCTTCAGCTCGTGTCATGATCCCAGCGTCCTGAGGTTGAGTCCCACGTGGGGCTCCCTGCCCAGCGGGGAGTCTGGTCTCCCTCTCCCTCTGCTCATGCTCTCTCTCACTCTTTCTCTCTCAAATGAATAAATAAAATCTTTAAAAAAATAAATAAAAAAATAAAGAAGAAAGTGGTTGGGCCCATGCCCTTGGGTTCTCTCCCCTCAGACAGAGTGCTGAGGCTGAGTTAGGACTTGGGGCTCTGGAGGAAAGGAGGGTGTAGGTATGACATTAAGCGTCCACTCTGCATTATTATAAACTCTGAGGATAATTGCCACTATCTGCTTCCCGAGCAGAGCCTGGTCTCCTTCAGTCCTCACCACTATTACAGGTGAGAAACCTGAGGGTGTTTCAACAGGGACGGAGGCAGATGCAAACCCACTTTGGTTAGACGCTAACAGCCACTTCCCTCTTTCCTGGGGAGGCCTACAGATAAGCCCGAGGGAAAAGAGTGTTTAGAACATTCCTTCTCCATCAGTGTCCCTCCAAGCAGGCTCTTCTTGCTGCTTTTAAAAAAATGAAGCCAATTCACAACACTGAATGTACTTAATGTCACCGTACACTTAAAAAGAGGTAAAATGTTAGATTTGGTCGTGTATATTTTACCTTGTACACACCAATGAGGCAGAAAGCCAGTCCCCTGCTTTACAGCAGGGGAAACTAGAGAACTCAACGGATATGCAAGGGACCCACCCGGAATTGGGAAACAGGCTTTGAGGGACCAGGACTCAGTGTTCCAGTCTCCCAGGCTGTCAAACCCCCACAAACCTTCTGGAACTCTCCAGAAGGACGAGTGAACTGAAAAAGGGCACCCAGCACCCCTTTGCCCAGCCTCCTCCCAGCACCCAGCTTTCTGGTAGAGGGACTGAGCAGAGCACTCCAGTCATTTCCAAGCCAGCTCACCCCTCCAGTGTCCCTAGTCTGTCTGGTCTTCAGATGACCCTTCAGGAGAGGGTCATCAGCTGTCTGACCCCAGACGTGGCCGGCCAGGGAGCTAGGAGCCCCCACCCCCAGACCACAAGTTGCTGGCGGGTGGCCAATTAGATCAGATTATCGGATGTGGATTGTGCCCCAGCGTGGGGGAGGGCCGTCTGGCCCCAGCTGGGGAGGGAGGCGCAGGCCGGAGCCCGGCGGCAGGGGTCTGCCCCCGACCCCAGGCTTCAGGATGTGGATTGCAAGGGGCAAGGGGACGCCGCGGGAGCGCTCCCTCTGCTCCGCACCCACCTGCCCGTCGCGCCGGACGCCCAGAACGCCCTGCGCTGTTTCCGAGGGTGATCCTCCCCAATCACCATGGTCGCTGAGTGCTTCCCCCCATCCATGTCTAGGCTCCGAACCCGAGTCACTCGGGACGCTGACCCCTTCCCAGCCTGGATTCGAGTTCCCAAGCCTGCCTCAGTTCCCAACTGCGGGGCACCCCATCTCTAGTCCCGGATCTCTGAACTCTAATCCCTGAGGTTACATGCACCGTGCTGGGTTTCGAAGCTTGCAGTCAGCGCCAGGCCCCGGCACCCATTCACTCTCACGCGGGAAAAGAAAAAAAATCCACAAAATGTATGTAGCAATACTAACGACCATTTATTTCTATGCCCGGTTTCGTGCTAAGCGTCGAACGTGCTTTGTCACCTAGCTCTCGCCACCGTCTTCTAAGGGAGGTACTCTTGTCCCCACTGCAGGGAAGCGCACACCGAGGCGCCGCGAGCTTAGGTAATTTAACAAGCCGGCGGGGTCCAGTGGCGCAGTCGGCCTCCCACCCTCCGGCACCGCGCGCTCCCCACCCTGCAGCAAGACGCGGGACGCAAAGGTCTCCGCCCGGGGCCCCCTCCCGATGCCACCATCCCCTCCACCCGCCGACCCCGCGCGCCCAGCGGGTGCCGACGCCGAGCCACCCCAGACCCGGACCCCGGACGCGCGCTCCCAGCCCGGGGCGCCCTCAGCCGCGGCGTCCCCAGCCCCGGGCCGCCCGCCCGCAGCCCACCCCGGCGCCCTTCCCGAGTCCCGAGGCGCCCCGGCTGGGAGCCTACCTTGCGCCTGCAGGCTTCGGATGATGTCCGCCCCGGGCAGCGGGTCCCGGTAGAGGCTCAGCATGTACGCGAGAGGGGACGGCGACGAGGGGTGCCCCCGCGTTCGGAGCGGCACCGGGGCCACCGTGGCGGCGCCCGCCTGGCGCAGGACCCACCAGGCGTGCAGGAGGAACAAGGGCAGCCGGGGGGCGTGCATGGTGGGCTGGCTGGCCCTGCGAGCGGCGCCTCCGCCCCTTATATCCTGGGCCTTCGCTGCCGCCCCGCCTCTTTCCTCCTTCCCTGGGGAAAGCCTTGAGCTCCTATACCTGCCCCCACCCTAGGGGGTGGGTGGAGGTGGCCCCCAGAGGGACCACCTGCTGGGGCGGGCCAGCCCCGAGCCTGGTAGGGAGGAGACCCGCCAAGCTGGCTGCGCTGTTAGGTCGGGGACGTCCTGTTGGCTTGGTCCGGGCACCCTGGCACGTGGCTACTCTAGATAGGAAGGGCCTTGTTTCTGAGGCACAGCAAGTGTGTCATCGGCAGCTCTGGGGTCAGAACTGTGGCTTCCTTGCTCTGCCTTACCTCGGATCCCTGCCCCTTCCTGTGGCTCCAGGCTCCAAATGGATGTCTGGCTCAACAGGACCAGGTAGGGAGCGGTGGTGGGCCCTGGACGCTGGCCCCACACTGGCCTGCGAGGCCCCCACCCAGTCCAGCCAGGTGCAGCCTTCCAGGACACCGCCCGGATGGCCTCCGGGAGCACTCCTGGCTGTATCCGGCAAGGCCTGTCCGAGGGCTAGCCTCTGGGGAACTACTGGGCCCTGGGAGTTGCTGGCTCAAGGAGGGTGAGCTCCAGAGGAAGGCCCACGGGGACCCGCTTCAGACAGGGATGGAAGGGCTCTCCCGGAGCGACCAGGGCGAAGGACGGACTTCTCCATCACAAAAGGGAGGTGTTGGGCAGAAGCTGGAGCCTGGGGCATAGCTAATGGGGGACCCCGGCCTCATATCAGTGAAGCAGCTGTGGTGGCATCAGGAGCTTCCCTTCGCAGGCACCCATCCACCCTCCCCCCCACCCCGGGATTTCAGGAGAAAGGGGTCGCCTGTGGTGTCTGTTCCCTGCAGGAAAGCTGGGTGTCAGCTCAGCCCTCTCTCCTTTCCCTTTCTCGGAGCCCTGCACGGAACTGAGCCTTGTCTGGCCTCCCTGCGCAGTGCAGTCAGGTCAGAGCTGGAGTTACCTTTAAAGAAATAGAAATCCCTGCCCCTTCTCAGGCCCCATCTGTTTTCCCTCGACCCAGAAGGGCTCCTCTTCCCCGTTTCCTTTTTTGCTTTGCCAGGCACGTGAGCTGCTGGTTGGCATTTACTGAAATGCTGCGTGCCAGGCCCGCCTCAGCAACTTCCACAGGGTGCCCCAGCTCCACAGGACCACAGACTCAGCCCAGAGCAGGTGGAGACTGTGGGAGGAGGCCCAACAGGCTCAGTCAGGAGCTCCGACTTGGTTGGAGGGGAGGGGTGGGGTGGAGACGGCCCACACCCAGCCCACACCCTGCAGGAAGGGGCCTCGCCTAGAAGAGACCTGGGCTGCAGTTGGCCATGGGACCTGGACAATCTGCTCAGCTGGCAGATGGTTAGTTCCTTAAAATGGGGATTGCCTTGTTCATCGTGTTTTCCCCACAGTACACATTTGAGTTTGGACCCAAAAAATCTTAGCTAAGTGAATAAATCAGTGAATGGCACTATGTCCGGACTTGCTGGGAGATTAAGTATCACCTTGGGTGTTTGTTAAACGATTGACTCCTGAGTCCCAATCCAGACCTCTAGACTTAGAATTTGGAGAGAGGCTTGGTTATCTACATATTTAACAAGCACCCTGTGGTCCTTACCAGACAACTTTGAGAACCTGGGTGGGGCTGGGGTTCTAGTCGCAGTTTGGAACCCACCCCTCTGCATTCAGTTTCCTCATCAGAGATCCCTCCTTCCATACAGAATAAATGAAGCAAATGGTAAAGTGCTTCGCAAGCTCTAAAACCTGGTGTATATGTAAAGCTTTATGCACATGGATATTGTGGGTGCTCCGTAGTTGTCATTCAGCTTCCCCAGCCTGGGGGCTTGCTGGTTCAGGATGGTCAGCCCCAGCCCTCTGCATCAGACCCTTCCCCAGGGCACCCTCACCCAGGTTACGAATATATAAATAAAAACCTGACAGGTTGCGGTTAGTGTAGTGGGAGCCCTGACAAGGACATGGGAACCAAGAATGGCAACACAGGGGAAGGGCATATAGCTAGACAGAGGTACAGGAATCAGTCTCCCCCAAACCCGGATCTCCCCAAGTCCCACGTGACCTAGAATCCCGGTGGTCCCCGTGGAAACAGGGACATTCAGCACAGAGCAGTCTTACCCACCAAGATGGGGAAAGGAACAACAAAGAAGATATATCTACTTCTCCTAGTGGACCAGAAGCTTCTTGAAATTAAGGATAAAATATTATTCATCCTGTGTCCCTTGCACTATGACACCTAGAAGGTGCTTCATCAGTGTTTTAGCTAACATGAGTGGTTATGCCAATAGCTAACATTTCTTGAGTCCTTCATGCAGTTGGCGCTCTGCTAATCATTGCAGTGATTTTATCATCACGCCCACTTCAGAGATGAGAAAACAGAGGCTCAGAAGAAACAAGGTGATTTGCTCAAGGCCACAGATTTACAGGTGGGAACAGCCAGTATGTGATGGGCAGGTGTGCTTGTGACCCAAAGCAGTGCTTTGAGCTCTGTTGCTTCCCCACAGATGAGAGGGTGAACGTGTGCCTTGTACTAAGACTTAGAAACTCTCAAAGTCTTGCCTCTCCCAGGGTCTGGGAGCTTCAGACAGAGCTCATTTCTGATGTGTATTGATCCAGAACCATGTAGGGGCCTGGAAGTACTCTCCAACCAGCAAGAGCGACTGTCAAAGCCCATCCATCACTGACCTTTCTGCAGCTCCGGCACCTAGAAGAAATGGAATCCCTGTCACCTCTGCAGGACAAAGGCTCATTGTCCTCCTGCTCGTTTTTTAAGGGTATTTGTTCACCCAGGATCTGTTTCCTGCAAGAAGGACCATAATTTTCCTCTTCTCAGGTGGAGAATGACACCTTCTCGCTTCCCGTGTCCCAGACGGACTGACCAACAGATTACCTGACCTGGGAGATAACCTTTCAAGGCCATCCCAGCTGGCTGGAGGGTGGGGAGCAAAGTCCCTCAAAGTTCTTGAATGCTTCCCATCAGACTGTCCCAGACCCTCCCTTGACACGAGCCGCGGCATGTGGCGTGGTTGAATGCTGGAGCCATGAGGCCAGGATGCCAAGAGGTAGGGTCAGCGTCCTTCTCTGTCACTACCTGGGTACATTACACCAGCCACTTACCGTCTTGAAGCTTCTGCTTCCTCAGCTGTAAAATGGAGATAAAGGATAGTATCTCTGTGACAGCAATGTTGTAAGTAGGAAGTGTTGTGTAAAGCGCACAGTGCACATGGCATCTGGCCAGCTGTGTATTCACTCATTGAACAGACCTGCTTTTCTAGTGCGTCTACAGCAGGTTAACGGCAAGAACTAGATTCTCTTGGGGGCAAGGCAGGAAGGCAGCTCAGTTCAGCACATATTTAATGAGCATCTCCTATATGCCAGTGTGACCTAGGTTGTCTTCACTTTCCCAGCGCGCCTCTGTGCTCCTTCTTCTGCGGGCGTGTTTCCATTGTATCCCCCCACCCCGCCCCGGGAACTCCTACTCAACTATCGAGACACAGCTTAAAAGACCTATCACCAGCTCCCCAACAATTTGTAAGTACAACATGATAGAGATGCCGTCCAAAACCGTCTTCAGTGGCCACCACTGGACTGTGAGCTCCCAAGAAGCAGGGATGGCTCCTGATTCATTTTTCCTGAAGCCCCAGGAATTCATAACTGCTGGTTATAACTGACTGGTTCATACTGGTTCATAGTGACTATTGCTTCAACTTAGATGAATGAATCCAGTCCTAGAAATGGCAGAGGGGCGCCTGGGTGGCTCAGTCGGTGAAACAGCTGCCTTTGGCTCAGGTCATGATCCCAGAGTCCTGGGATTGAGTCCCACATCAGGCTCCCTGCTCAGCAGGGAGTCTGCTTCTCCCTCCCCCTGGCTTGTGCTCTCTCATGCTCTCTCTCAAATGAATAAATAAAATCATTAAAAAAAAGAAAGAAAGAAAGAAATGGCAGAGGCGGCTCTAAGCACAGGCTTCTGGCTTCTGCCTTCAGTATTTGTCCCCCTTGCTGTTACCAGGCCCTGCTGATCTTGGAGGCCAGCACCCAGAGCTGAGAGGTACCACCCGGGCACCTGTGCCAGGCCCATGTGGCTCCCTGTGATCTGGAGAGAGAGACCCAGCCCTCCCCGCTGCAAAGCCCTTATACTCCAAATGTCCTCCAGCCCCATGGAAACACCTGCGCTTCCCCCAAAGTTCAAAGCCATTCTTCCTCTGTCCAGGATAATTCTGCCCCCTCTGCATTCACACAAGACACTCCTATTTATTCCTGTGTCCAGCTGGAGAGAGTTCCAAGCCCTCTGCTGAGCACTCGGAAGAATGCAGAGCAAGGCGGGTGGCAGGCTCACTGGTGGAAACCTCCTGAGGGCTTGAGGACCTCAACACTCAACAAAGGGTGACTTGGTCTCTCTCCCCGTGTAGACTCTGAACCAAGCCACTCTTTGTTGAGGGTTGAGGTCCTCAAGCCCTCAGGAGGTTTCCACCAGCGAGCCTGCCACCTGCCTTGCTCTGCATTCTTCCGAGTACTCAGCAGAGGGCTTGGAACTCCGTAAGTGGAGGTTGCAAACCATGCCTGCAGCCATTCTGGGCTTATAGCAGTGTTTTGTCTACCCCCAATAATGTTTTGAAAGGTTTTTATTTAAGTCATCAACACTAAAAATGCTTTAGATTTTGAATAAAGTAGTTTTGCATTTTTTAAAAGTAATCTCTACCCCCAACGTGGGGCTCAAACTGGGACCCTGAGATCAGGAGTCACATGCTCTACCGACTGAGCCAGCCAGGCGCCCCTGAATAAAATGGTTTTATAAAGGTCTTGGCCCTCATTTCAACATGGCAAATGTTCCCTAAAGCTGAATGGTAGCTGCTTTCTTTCTGGCAGGCTCTGTTTTCTACAGTGCGCCACGGTCCCCACCACTCCTTAACTTATTGCGCCCATTTGCCTGCCCCCCTGAGATAAGTGAGTTTGAGATGCGTGCTGTATGTTGGATGAGAGAAAGACACTCTGGAATCAGTTAGGAAACAGACTCAGGAGTGTTCTGCTCCACGGGGACTAACCCACAGATTGTGGATACCTGGCTCAGGCTGGATGAACTATAAATAATCTATTATTTAGTAAGTGCTTACCACAAAGTGTTTGCATTATCTAATTTACCCCTCTTATCCCTAGAAAGCAGATTGGAGATTTACTCCCATTTTATAGGTGAAGAAACTGTGGCTC